CAGAATATGACGCCTATGATGCAATCTGTCAGTAACATTGACACCGAAGTGTTTGTTTTTCTGAGCCCCCCATAGTTTTATTACCTGACCATAGATACATCATGTTTCCACTTCCTGTAACAGGGTGACAACGCTGTTTGGTTTGCAGTGAAATCCCACAGCATGGTTGTCACCCTCTGGACATTTATAGCCTTCAATGGACATGTCGTTTTTAGATGGAATGCTATTAAAGGACGGCCAAACCCAACCATAAAAATGTTCTACATTGCTGCTTACCGTTCCTTCAATGTGGTGGCTGCAATTGTTTTCTCTTTATCGTGGCTACGTACATATTCTGCAAGCAACGCCGTGTCCTCGTCACTTCCTGTGAGCTCCTGAAAGCATGAAACAATGTTATAACTTATTGCTGCAAAATATTATGACCATCAGCCCCTATATGATGGAGGGGAACCAAGGCAGTCATGTTTGAAGTCCAGCCTGGGTGGCAACTATGGCTCCCTCCATAAATACAGTGTATGAGTGTAGCCACCGCGGGACAGGAAGTGTGTTATTCACAGGATTCAGGGCCCGTTAACACCAGATGCAGTGCGTTCCGGCCTGATTCTGGCCAGAACGCACACTGCCTCGCATTGCGGCCGGCTTACTTTTTAGTGGGGCAGGAGGGTGCGTGGCGGGCCATTGAAGTGAATGGCACTGTAACCACACCCCCCGGGGCGTGCAATGCGATCGGCCGCACGGGATCGCAAGGCAAAATATGCCTGCTGTCCGGTGCGATCAAAATAGTGCTTGCAGCATTTTCACCGGACCGCAGGCATGATGTGCCTTGCGATCCCGTATGGCCGATCGCATTGCACCCCCCCGGGGGGTGTGGCTACGGAGGGCGTGGCCATTTATTTCCCCCTCCTGCCCCACACAAAAAAGTGAGCCGGCAGTGTGCGTTCTGGCCAGAATCGGGGCGGAACGCACTGCATCTGGTGTGAACGGGCCCTAAGAGGTGAAGGATCAGAGAGGGGGGAATCCCTGCAGGGAGCCATGAGCGACAGTCACGGCTCTCTGCAGGCACACGATCGAGAAGTGAGCCAGCGCCGGTACATGTTCGCTCACTTCCCCATCTACTGAGCCGACCTGTGACAGTCTCATTGTCACACGTCGGCTGGAACTATGAGGTGAATGAAGATCACCCCCCTCATAGTTCTCCTTTTTAACCTCTTAGCAGTGCTTGGAAGAAGGTGGCGTTCCCGTTACAGGGAGCGCGTGCTGTAAAGGTGCGCGGCGCTGTGATTCAGGAGGTCACCCCGTGTACGTCGTTACCGGGGGAGGTGCCGTAGTAAAGTGTAGATGGCGAGACGACCCGTTCAGCTGTGCCAATGCAAAATTAATGAGCATCACACTGAACCAGAGGCGGGATTGGCTGAACGCTTCGTGAGGCAGATGCTCCCGGTGAACACTTCCTGCTAATCTAGAGCAGTGCTTCTTAAAGTGTGGGTCGCGACCCCATATGGGGTCCCGCAAGTGAACAGGGGGGGGACAAGACACACTGTCCGATGCTGGGGTCACAAAAAAATGTCCTCGGCCAACAAGGGGTCACGAGTGGAGAAAGTTTTAAGAAGGCCTGATCTAGAGGACTCGCATTCTGCATCGGTGGTCTGCAACCCCTGTTGTGTACCCGTGTGATGTACATAACAAACAGGAAGTGTCCTCCTCCCGATAAAAGGGAAACATTGTTGATGGGAAATGCCTTTAGAATGTAACATGGATGATGCCATGACAGTTGCTGATGCCGGGGCGGCCTGCGCGTCCTCTCCTCCTGTTGTTGGTGAGTAAACAGATGGAGTCCTCTCTCTCCCCCTCTCTCTCTCTCGGTGATAAGAGTCGGCTCAGTGATGGCCATGTTTGAACAGCGGCTGATAAAAGGTGATAGCCTGGTGTGAAGAAGAGCAATAAACTCATAAATGATAATGTGTTCATCTCCAGGTGTTCTCCCGGAGAGTCGGCCTTTATATCCGCAGCACGCTGCACTGCCTGCGGTCAGCCAGGCTCAGTCCTCCGTGGTTCTAGGGGATCAGACTATGGAGGCGCCATGATGCATCTGCCCATTGCTGCCCCTGTAGGGTCCTACTGCAATCCCAGAACCTGCACATTTCCCTATATGTGGTCACATTTTCTGTGCACAGCAGAGAGGCAGCAACTAATCGTCAATCAACTAATCGATGATGAGGATCGTTGCCAACGATTCTCATTATCTATTTTTAATGGATTAGTTGTTGAAGCCCTAGTGCAGGGGGTCTCAAACCTCCGGCCCTCCCAGCTGTGGAGCAACTACAAATCCCATGATGCATCTCTCTTCGGGAGTCGTGGCTGTGAGAATCTTGCAATGCCTTATGGGATTTGTAGTTCCACCACAGCTGGAGGGCCGGAGGTTTGAGACCCCCTGCCCTAGTGTAATGTGTGATGAAACAGACACTTGTAGTCTCTATCAGAAGCCTGTGTGGCAGGGTGACAACACATGAGCACAATTGATACAGGGACAAAGTTGTTGTCACCCTTTAGCAGGAAGTAACTGAACAAGGGGCATCTATGGCGGGATCACCGAAGAGTATTGTAAAGAAACTGCTGATTTAAGAAAGACTGAAGTGGTTTTTGACATTTTGTAGTTATTTATGGTCTTTGTGTAACTTCCTCTGATGAGCAGATTCTTTCTGATAGAACTAAATGAAGAAATAAACTCCTGTGTTCTAGCGGTTTTAATGGCTCGCAGACTTCCTGTCAAATCGTGGCTGCCTCCGTGTTCCTCGTGCTTTATCGCTGCCTTGCCCTGCAGCTTTGTGTGTTTTTTATTGGACACGTCAGCTCAGCATTGTACCTACCTATAACATATATGTCCTATATAGCAGCGTACTTCTCCTTAGGTGTGGCGGCTGCATTCCTTTTTACCGGCTAGGAATGTTTTCAATGTTTTCAAGTACAGAACAATCCTTTTTTGGTCCTGAAATAAAATAACACGGGGTCACTGTCTTTGCACTGAACTGAAATCTCAGACAATGTTATTTTCTGTGAACTACAGAACCCCCCCCCCCCCCCCGGGGGGGGGA